GGAGATTTTAAGTTTCTTTTTTTTTTAATATTTATTATTCTTATTTTATGTGTATGCATGTATTGCCTGCATGTAGGTAAATGCATCCATGTCATGCAATGCCCGTGGAGGACAGAAGAGGTTGTTGGATCCCCTGGAACTGGAGTTACAGACAGTTGTTAGCTGCCATGTGGGTGCTGGGATTCGAACCTGCTTCTTCTGCAAGAACAGTCAGTGTTCTTAACTGCTGAGCCATCTCTCCAGCCTCCAAAGTTTCTTCATATAAATTTGCTGCTACAAATTCCTCCAAAGTGAATATATTCTAACAGTTTAATAATAAAATAAAATAATATTTGAGATAATAATAGCGGTCATTTAGTATTAAAAACAACTTATACCTTTTCTATGTGGACCTCCTTAATTTCAAGCTGTTCTATCTCTTTTAACAGACTTGTTCTGGCATCTTCCAACGTTTTTATTTCTTCTTTTAGTTTTGATGCCTGACTAAAATCTTGTAAGGTAATGCAATTTTCCAAAGCTTCTTTTGCTTCAATAAGTTTAACTTTTATTTCAGCCATCTAAAGAAAGATAAAAAAAAAAATCAATCATTTCAATAGTAAATAAAATTAAGATGAAAATCTGTCACAAATTGTATTTCTAAATATCGCAAAGATTCAAAATTTAAGTAGGCAAATATAAGTTTGAATTTTCCCAAAACAGAGATCAGCAAATCTTGCAGTTTATGTGATAGTGATTTACCTACCCTTTTGGTTTAATACTTAATGATTTAACTTTGTAAAAACAATTTGAAAACTGTACAAGAAGCATTACTAAAGCACTAATTTATAAGAGACTTAACTTACCTTGAGTTCTTTCTTTCTTGTATCAGATGGATCTACATTAACATTAACAATGGGTGCACGAATCTCTGAGATAATTTCTGTGACCTGATAAAGTCATAATTCAAAGTACAAGTTGTAATATATGTCATATCAGCAAATAACAGCAAACCGCTACATAAAATTCCAAGTACCTGCCACCTTTTGGAAAACAGCAAAATACTATGGAAAAGCAGTACACATTATGTTAGCTATACAATTTTAGTAGACTGTGTTGGTTGATCTTTATTGTCAACTTGATTCCATTTGGTAACACTTCAGAGTATCTATGAAGGTGTTTTTAGAGAGGTTTAACTGAGGGAAGACCCACCCTCAAAATGGATGGCTCTTTCCAATACCCAGTCCAGAAATAAAAGGTCCAGTGGAAAACCTTATGTTTGTTTGCCTGCATTCACTTCTTCCTGGATGTACCTATCATTACTGCTGCACCCTCCACTGACATCAGATTCCAGCTTCTTGAGTCTTTCAACCTAGACTGAATACCAGCACTTTTCAGAAAACTTCCAGGCCTCAGCACTGGGATTGGAACTGTGGAGGCATCCAGCTTTGTGGACACCAAAATCTCTACCTCTAGCATGCTGAAAGTCGTTGTTGGACTCCCCAGCCCTGATCATGTACCAATCTAAAAAAAAATCCCCATATATAGTCCGTTAACACTGTTACTCTGGAGAACCTACCTAACAAAGATTTTGGTACCAAGTAGGGCTAGCTTTTGCTGTGATAAGCCTGACCATGTGGTTTACAGGCTTTGTAGAAGGGATGTCAAAGAATTTGCTACTGTGGGCTATAGAAGTCCTAGAATGCTGTAAGCAGAGCTTCCTGGGAAGCTATTCTTATGGGAGTGTGGAAGATCAGAATACCAACAGAAATGCAGACAGCACATACTGTTCACAAGGTTTCAGAGAACAAGAACCTATCCGAACTAAGTAAGAGACCATTTGTGTTACATTCTCTCATGACACACACACACTCACAAGGGATTGTGTGCACATGCACACACGCACACACAAAAGAAATTAAACTAAAATAAATAAATAAATGTTTCATTTCTATGCATGTACTGAAAAACCGAGTGAGGATGAATTCAAAGGTAATGGACTACGTCATCTGGCAGTGAAAATTTCAGCCAGCATAACATTCAGGCTATGGCAAAATTACTGTTTACTGCTCATCTCCACATCTACTGAGGAAAAACATATGAAAAAAATTAACAAATTGCAGAGAAAAGGAGCATCAGTGAGGTTAAAGTTCCTGACAAGGCAGTTGCAGAGAAACCTCAGGCCATGCACTAGAACGGCAAGAAAAGTGGCCCGGGGGCAAGAACTACAATTTGCGAAAATGCAAATTAATTTGAAAAAAGAGAGTTTGAACTAAGCATGCCGCCGAAGAGATCTACATGCAGGCAATACATGCATACACATAAAATAAGAATAATAAATATTTTTAAAAAAGAAACTTAAAATCTCCTTTTCTTAGTTAACTTTGATTATTATAACTAGAACTTCCTTTGCTCCCTTGCCATGATTATCCTTGGAATCCGAAGACTTTCTTCTTTCTCAGGGAA